AAAGTACATATGTCGTTTTGTGAAAATTCTGTAGGTGATGATGAAAAATGGATATCATTTTTGGAGTGTACATGAATTACTGTAGAACATATAAAAATTTCAAAAGGATAAAACCATCACAGGCCTGTGTAATTTTTATGTATCATTTTGGTTTCTTTAAATTTCATAGCTTGCTTCAGTACTGTCAGACTACCAGAAATTACTGTATAAGATCTTTTTTTGATAATATATTTGTTGTGAAAGATAAATGCATATTTATATAGAACTTATGCTGATAAAACTGATTTTGTCAAAATTTACCATTACTAACTGCCTCATTATCAAAATAGCTTTGCTAGTATTTAGTAACTGTATTTGAATATAAGTTTGTTTGTTTTTAAAACCTGTTAAAAATAAAGTGAGAATCATGTCAGTTAAAGTAATGAAGCAAGACTTAGTAAGAATGTTTTTGTTTAAGTAATTATTAATTTTAATTTTCTCAATCTAGCCCTTTGTATACCTACTTTACTGAAATGAATGCATTGTATTCTTATATAGGAGAGGAAATTATGCACCTAGTTAATATAGTTATCCTAGTTATATGTTAAAAACTTGATTTTGTTACTTTTACATGATTAACTAAATTATAATTTTTTTCTATTTATTTTACATACAGGTTTTGGGTAAGTTTTGTGTATCAACAAAACATTCTTAGGAGTAGTGGACTGATCTTCATGAACTTCAAAACAATAGAATTAGTTTTAGCATCTGACAATATTAAAAATTTCTGGTTAAAGGAAAAAAAAGTTATTATTGTGATGAGCACATTCCCTCATCATAAGAAGTTGTGAAGAATGTATTCTTCATACCTGATTTTTGTATAATCATTTTCTAAGCATATAACTTTTTGTGATGTTTTTTATTATTAGAAAAGAAATTATTGCAAATGGAACAGAAGTACCTCCAGCTGTTGGTGGAACCTACACTATTGTTGCTCCAGCAAAGCTTAGACCGCATCTTGAGTATCACGTCAGTATATCAGTTTATGATGTTCAGTCACCAGTAGAATTGACAGTTGCTGTAGCTGGACCAGCAGATAATGGAAACTTCAATAACATGAATAGTGTTGTCACATTAAATTCTGGTAGGAGTTTCCTCTGTTTAATAAAACTAGTTAAAGAGTACAGTAATTAAACAAAGTCAGACAAAGTTAATATTAAGTTTTTACATTGATATGAATGTCTCATCTAAAGACAAGATGGTGAGTTTTTAATAATAAGATAGAAAATACTTGATTTGGGTGTTTTTATTAAATACCTTTAATACTGATAAACTGAATTAAGTAATGTGTACTTGAAGATTAATTACATACATGTACTAGTGTATTTACAATAATGTGTATTTGCAAGTTGACAATGTCTAAATTTTTTATGATCTGTGTAATGTCTGTTATTAAGTCACTTTCTTCTTTTTAGGTGACACTCGGATTGTAAATTTTCAGGCAAGTTTACTTTTGTGAACATTTTACGTTTTGTATTTTGTGATTGAGTCCAAATTGCATAATAAACTTTTAATGTTTTTTTTAGATTTGAATGTTTTGTTTAAAAACTGAAATGTGGACACTTCAACAAACATTAATTGTTCTAATAAATAAGTTGAGTATATGGCTATATCAAAATGATGGAATTACTTCTTGAGTTAGGCTAATACCTTGCAGATGCCTTTTAATCCTAACTAGTATGCATAACCTTACTATTATTACCACAATATTATTCTTATAGCTTTTCAAGATAAACACCAGATGAACTTGACTAGGAAAACTATTTTAGTATGATTAACTACTACAAAATATCTAAAGCCTTGTAGACAATGTACAGTATATGGCAAAAGTACTGACCCCCTATCAATAATGTCACAGTTTGGAGAAACACAAATAATGTAAACAATTTTTGTAATGAACTTGTTTTTATTCAAAACTCTAATGATCAAACTTAATGCTGTTATGTGTGAAGGAGGTTGAATGTCAGCAAAACCTGAAAGGAACATGTTTTGAGATTGTTAGAGGTATGGAACTCATAAATTCAGACTTCAAAAAAAACGTTTCTGGCAGTAAGAATGCATGATACAAGTTTAAGATGTAAGAAACAAATTTAAGCATAACTGTAGTTACTTTCCTTGTAGAGTAATTTGGCTATAGAATAGCTTACATTCAGGTACTTTAGAAGATGCAACATTGAAGGTGTTTAAAAAAGAGGATTTTGGGACAGGATAGCCAAGAAAAGTTAATATAGCCCAGAGTTCAAACTCTTCAGAAAGGAATTGCCTTAACTGACTAAGTACACAAATCTAACCTATTTAAACGCCTTGATTTCTTGAAATGGGAGGAGTCATAAAATCCATTTATCCAGATAGAATAGTTTGATTACTGTCTGCCCATTATGATTTTAATGACCAGGATGCAAGGGGGCCATGCTGGGGGAGGGAGAGGAGGACAGTGAAACCTTAAGTGTAATGAGTGTTGGTATAATAACCTTAAAGTAAAGACTTGGTATGGGATCACCTAGTCTACAGCCAATTGCATAAAATTTATCATGATAGTAAAAGTATCGATTCAATTTTAAACTTAAATAATTTCTGAATTAAGCTATTTTCTATCATATCACCAATGATTTTAATAAATAACAAACAAACCTCTTTAATCAATGGAGACTCTAAATTTAGGAATCAACGAATATTTTTCCAGTTTTGATGTTTATACATTTAATTTTATACTTTCAGTACATAGACTAACAGCAATATTAGGTTATAATTTTGTTGCTGAGCAACATGACATAAAAGCCATTCTTGGAATATAGTGTTACCAAAATTCACTGGCATTTCTATATATTAAAAGTTGTTAATGTAACCAATTTTTACATATTCTATGAATACACCACAAATTCATTTCATGACTGATCTTAATTTACCAAAGTCTGACTGCCTCGACTGCACTTTTTTGCTTCTTTGTTGGTCAAGCTTGATTTTACATCTTATTTATTTCAGTTAACTATGAAATATGAGGTTAGGGTATACTATGGGGTAGGGATGGTAGTAGTTGCCCTGTCCTTTTTGATGGGCTATACACAAGTTGTGAATAATGTACTTACAACTAATAAATAAAGACAACTTGTTTGTAAAGGTAAATCAACAGGGGATGGTAAGTGTTTTGAATTTTTAAAAATAAGCCAAATGATGTATATTCCTACTGACTTTAATGTATATGATATTAAAATTTTTGTAATTGTATAAGGTCATGCAGGTTACCAAATCATTGTTTGGTGATGAAAATAAACTAGTGTAAACCATGAATGAAGAGTTATCTTGAGACATTATAAATTAATTTTGATTTGTACTGATGACCTCTAGATTGGAGAATGGGGACCAGGAAAATACAAGTTAACAGTATCTGGACAAGGAGGTCTTTCTTTCCGAAATGAAACAAGTTTAGAATATGAGCAGAAAAGCTACTCTGTATTCATTCAAACTGACAAAGCCATCTATAAACCCAACCAGCTAGGTATGGTAATAACTATTTGAGAGTTTACAGGATGACATATTTACAGTAATTATTGACTTAAATCTGGATGGAGCTAACTATAAATGATGATCCTAAGAAACATCTTCAACAGTCCATAATTTTAGAACACACAACAGCTGTTAAATTAAGGCTGAAATCATTAATCAACTCTTTTCATGGAATTATAAGCAGAAATAATTAAAAAAAGTTATTAGCTATATTTATCTAAATATTTTTTCTAAACTAATAAAATTCATCGAATTCAGTGAACTTTGTTTATGAGGAAAAGATGAGTTTTTAAACTTGCATCTCTCTCCTCTTTGTTTAATTGTTACTAAAAACAGTTACTAAAAATTGTTACTAAATTCAGTGAACTTTGTTTATGAGGAAAAGATGAGTTTTTAAACTTGCATCTCTCTCCTCTTTGTTTAATTGTTACTAATGATTAGGTTTGTGCACTGTGAAGTTCTATACAAATAAGTAACTTACCTCTATAACCTGCAAGTACTTGAATTATTTAAAAATCATGTTTTAAATGTCATTTAATAATTCATAAAATAGCTTAGGAAAAAATGCAGATGCTGATATATAACTTGATGTTGCAGTTAAAATCCATGAATGGTTTACTTCTATGTTTAATCTATATATGTAATCCATTTGACTTAGTAACTTAGTATGATATTAACAAACAGTTGTATCTTTTGTTGCAGTTCAGTTCAGAGTCATTGTTGTCAACCCTTATCTAATTCCAAGTGTGACAGGTGCAATAGATATTCACATTACAGTAAGTAAATGTTCTTAATATTATAGTTATGTGAATAATTGTATTGCATTTTTCATTAGTGGAAGTAGTTGCATCAATCAGTGGTTCAAATTGCTTGAAATACAGAATCCATAGTCTAAGGCCATAGTATATTTGTTTTGTGTTGGTAGGAACTACAGGCCTCGTTACCAGTAGAAAGTTTTACATGTATGTTTGCTTTAATTAACCCTTTCATCACAGGTTGCGTGGAATCCACCCAGCTTGTAGCCACGAAAGTATGAGAGTAATTATACTATGACTTTTCATAATGTATGCACTATCACTACAAAATTATGCAGGTTATAAATGTTGTACTGTTATATACAAATTTAGTTGGTGGGTAAACTTTTTTTTGATGAAATTGGAAACTTGAAATGGGGTATAACTGTTCTTTGTGTTAGATATATATAAACATAATGCGAGTCTGTAAATGTATCAATTTGTTGAACATGTTCTATACAAAACAAAGTAATAACATAATGTCCAACTGTTCATAAGTTTCAGATATTTTTAAAATTAATTTGAAAGTATTTTTCCAGAATGTAATTTCTTATAATAATGGTTGTTAAATTCCTAAGGGGATTTCTTATAATCAAGTTACTTTTCACCATGCCTTTTCTGCCTTTATTAAAGAGAAACCTACAGTGTAAGTGCTATGACAAGTGTTTTGCTACATGGATTTTGTATATATTGTCTATGTAACAGAGATGAAATGTTTTTGTATTTATATTATCATAGGATGGCAAGGATAATCGTGTGAAACAGTGGAAAAGAGTGTTTACCTCAAAAGGTAAGATTGTTTTGTCTCTTCAAACTGACCATCACTTTTTTTACTGTTATGTTTATACAACAAGGATTACAAGGAAAAATTAGGATGACTGGCCTCAGGAACAGATTACCTTTGGATGCGACTGATACAGTTAATTTAAGGGAAAGTGTGATAATTATCTGAATAATAAGGGCTGACTGAGGTTTTTTTTGCTTTAAGGGTTTAGTTTAATTTAACGAATAGAACAGCCTATATGGACAAAAAGATCCCTAGTTGTCCTTTAATGTTATGCTATTATACAATTTACATCACGAGATGACGTGTTGTGAATACATAAATAGTTAAATGATTAACTTTTAGGCAGCTAAAAATAAAACCATAAGGTAATGGCAGACAGAAGTTCTGTATATTGTCAAATTTTAAGATAATAACAACTAGACCATAGACCATTTGAGAATATTGGCAAACTATTTAAAACAAACAAGTGAAACTACATTTATTAATGCCAATTCTGTAATGTTCAATATATAAAAACATTCATTGGCTCTGTCCCAGTGCACAAGTTTCCACCTAGGTTATAAACTGCCAAAAAAGAATTTAAAATTTTTTATTTTAAATTTTAGGATTATGGTAGAACAATTATGCTGATAAACCTGAAATATAACAAACTTGTATAAAACTGTATTTTTTTATTATTATCTGTAATCAAATTACATTAAAGTTGAATATTTTTTAGCTGATTTTTGTTTCACTTGTAATAAAATAACCTGGGGAGAGGCTGTACAAAATTTATATTTTTCATTTTCCAGTTAATTTTATAGAACTAATGTAAGTTATTCTTAACTTTTTTATTATTATTAAAATAGTTGCTTATTGTTTTTCTTTATATATTGATTGATATGGTCAGATAATTCCAGTTTTTTGTAATAAAGCAATTCCAGGAAAAGATTTTAAACAACCTTGTCCTCTTTGTTCTCCAGTTGCAAAGATTAATTGCTTTCTTACTGTTTTTCTTCCTAGTACTAGTATTTAGTTTTTCATCTGTTTGTAACTTTTACTCAGCCTATATAAAGCTGCTCACAAGACGTTTTATATGTGACTTAAAAGTTTAAAAAGTGTTTGTTTTTATTGCAGTTAAATAGCCTTTTTAAAGGCTTACTAATTTGTGAAAATATACAGAAATAGACAAAAAAATTAGTTTAATTTGATCAAAGTTTCTTTGTTATTTATCTGTTACGTGAAACGCTCATGAGAATATCTTATTTAAAGTGAAATTGTTCAAATTTGTTTCAGTACTATCCTTTCCTAACATAAATACCAAAGTCAAAGGAAATTATCTTTCTCAGGTATTGTGTCGCTGAAATTCCAGTTGGCTGACCAGCCTGTTCTAGGAGACTGGGATATAGTGGTAAACGTTTTGGTAAGTTGTATTTATATGCTGTTCTCAATAACTAGTTCATGAAATTTCTTGTTCTTTACTAGATGTATTCTACAAATTACTGCAAAATTCTAAGATTCATTATTTATAGTCCAAAGAAACTTGTGTACCTTCAGTGACTTTAAAGTAGGTAATCTGATAACAACCCTTAACAGGGAAACCTTGATTCATGTTCAAGTTTGGTTGAAGTAGCTTAATATACAAATATTCCTTGAACCGAAGTGTTTGTTCATTCAAACTACATCTTTTTATCTTATTGTTAGTTTTCATTACTAAGTTTGATTTTAGAAGAAAGTTAAAAATGATGTGTGAAAAAAAATAAAATTAATTTTTGGTTTTGTTTAAACTTTTATCAAATACTTGTTAAGTGAGAGTGGGGAAAACCCCATATGTTTAGCTATCTCGTGTAGTTAATGATAAACTTGTTTTTTCATGTATTTCCTTACAGGCTGGCTTGTAAAATGTGCCAAACTCATTACTGAATACTTGTTTGAATATTTGATAACTGTCCAATAGACTTCAACGCATTCATACATCAGTTATAAGTCATGATATATTGAACTCTGTGAAATTTTTGCTGTTTTGTAACCATGTTTTCATGTATTTAATATGTTGCCACTGTCCCTGAGTATCCATATAAACAGTGACACTGAAAATACTGGGAAATATTTTTAGTTATTTAAAGTTTCAGCAATTTCAATAACTTGCCTTTTTTGTTGGCATTTTCTTTTCATCAAAAAATATTATTTTCTAAGTGTTGTAAACAATTTTTTTCCAAGATCATGTTTAAAAATATTTTTGCAACAACTAGGCTTAACTTGAGTATGCTAAAGACTTTGTACTGGGAGTGTAAATGACAAGGCAACTTGAGTATAATAAAGGCTTTGTACTGGGAATGTAAATGCAAACATACATACTTTTATGAAAGTGACATACCCAACCTTCTTTTAGAAAATATTTTAATGTATTTGAATTTAGTGTAATAAATGTTTTATACATACAGGTATATCTTCAACCACAGGTTTGCTAAATACTGTAAATATTAACTTATTCAAAGCATACTGATTTCTTGAGCAATATACAGTAAAAAATAATTATCTGGCAATTGCTGGATCTGAGCAGTGCCAGATTGGCAAATTCTTCCTATACAGCACTTCCCTTATATTTAATAGGAAGATTTTGACATATTATTAATGCTCAAAACTAAAGTATTTCTACATCAACTATCACAAGATTTAAACAATACTAAATGTTATACAATATTGTACAGTATTTTAAAGGTGAATTACAATACAGGAAGCTAACAACTGAAGCTTACCAGCAGGAAAGAATGTAAATAAAGCCACAGAAGCAGCACCACTAAGCTACAATGAGCATTTTCATTTAGAGTTATTGAAATTTCTGGATACAAAGGTGTCAATTAACAAAGGTTTTACTGTACAATAAACTGATCTGAATGCAATGTGTTGCATTGACACTAATGAGTAAATGATATTTTGATAAATCTGGTATTTTCTACTTTTAGGGCCAGAGTTTTAACAAATCTTTCACCGTTGCTGAATATGGTAAGTATAGAAACAACTTTTAATGATCACTTAATAAAAATTTTTTTAAGTTAAAGCATAAGTGATGCATCAAAGAAATGAATTAATTGATTAATTAAACATTATTTTGTCTGTGTTTAATTTTTTCTTTTTTTTTTCCATTAAACTCATAATATTTTCTTACTTATTTTGCTTGTCAATATTGAGTGAGTGTGACACCAGAACAATGAACAGCCTCAATCTCTTTACTCGCTATATCCTCTTAACTTTTCCAGTCTTATTTAAGTGTCCTCATGTTGGAATGTTTAAGAGTTTCGATGATATGTAAAACTTCCTTTGTGAGTCAGACTGCTTTAAGCCACCTAAATGTTGTCTGTATTTCCTGTTCAAATTAACAGTGTAAGAATAGAATCACTTTAATAAGAGTTATAAATCAAAAGGTACCAAGCATTTTATTTTCATACCTTACAATTTAATTGTTGTTGGGGTTATGACACAATCACTGTTGTAGTTTTTTTTATAATAATGTAATGAAAATGTGGTTTCTTTCAGTTCTTCCTACTTTTGAAGTGAAGATTGACCTACCTGCCTATGCCACCTACAGTAACTCTTCTATTCTTGCCACTGTCAGAGCCATGTAAGTCTTGATATTAAATTTCTTAGTGGAGATAAACTATTTTTAATAACATATAAGTGTGTGTGTGTGGCTTAACATTTTTGGGCTGTTTTTTTTTGTTTATTGTGTAGGTTAAATTGGTAGTTGGCCATTTTATTGTTTTACTGAATAGGTGTAATTTGTATAATTATTACTAATGTATTAAAACAAATACTTGAATTTTGTATTTTACTGATCAGCCTCTAGACTAAAATTCATGACTAAGGAGCTACATAATTGTTTTCAGAGAACCAATTAAATCATTAAAATAAGTTTAAAAAATTTAGCTGTTTGGAATTACATCTCAGTTTATTGACTGTTACTTAAAATCAGATGCTTTTGAACATACCTTGATTTAAGTTTTTTAAATTTAATTTAAGATGTATGCCGACTTTAGAGTAAGGTAAGGCTGCATGGAAGAAGTTAAATATTGTTATCTATAGCATAGGGCACCGTACTCTTACAGAAAGGTGTAACTAGGATTTTGATAGTATATGTTAGGTCACTACACTACTGAAGATCTGTAATCAGTGCTAGAATTTTTTTCTACCTTTTTAGAAAGTTCTATACATGTAAAAGTACATGATCATTAGCAGCAGTTTATAAGATGCTCTTCAGTGTTGTGACTTTTATAATTACAGAGGAACTTACTACGCTGTGTGGGCATTATAATATGATGGTCAATCTCACTATTTTTTGATAAGAGTAGTGAAAAGAGCTGGTGGTGGGTAGTGACAGCTGATTGTTTTCCCTGTGGTTGACAGTTCAAACTTAAGAGATGGCAGCAGCTAGCCTCAGTAGCCTTGCTATAAAATAAGTGAAAATGATATATATGACGTATATATTGGACACTTGCTGTAAGCCAATGAAAGATAGTTAGTATTATGAAAATTTTTATTTGTATATAGTTGTAAGTTTTGGTAGTAAGAAACCTTGTTCTTTTGAAAATTTGCATTCCTTTTTTAGGTACACGTATGGTAAACCTGTAAAAGGAGATCTAATCCTTACAGTCACTTCACTATCAAGGTACAGCAGTTTTTCAGAAAGAGAACAACAACGCATTCAAAAGGAAGTCAGTGTAAGATTTTGCAATTTAATTTCTACTGACATTGTTTATATTTATCCCCCACCCCAAAGAAAATTTCTGTAGTGGCATTTGTTTTAAAACTTGCTACTATAAGCTGCCTGATTCTAACTACATATTGAGTATGATCATCATAAGTTAATGTACTGATAGGGTTGTGGTGAATAGTTCATGTAGAAAATGGTCAGTGTCTCATCAACATACGACTTTACAAGCAAATCATGATTCACATACTATATATGGTTTTAATAACTAAAATTTAATTTCAAACTTTAAAAACAAGGATGTTCTGAGTATCTAAACATTTAATGTTTTACGTACAATAAAATAAATTCCTTCTCTCTTTGTGAAAGAGTTTGGATAACAAATCAAACTAAAATTTGCATTCAGGGCTTAAAATTGGGTCATACAAACCACTTGATTATATCTGTTGGTATAAGATTACTTCTGAATCATTACATTTGTTGCATAGGGTTTAAGTGAATGATTTTAACACCCCTTTAAATGATTATTTTCCAGATCAATGGAAATGTGGACATTCAGTTAAACTTGCTAAAAGATTTAAAGTTGCATAAGGATACATTTAGAGAAGAAGTAGAATTCTTTGCTGTTGTGAAAGAAGACTTAACCAACAGGAAGTATAATACCACTAGTGTGTTATGGATCTATGATAATGATGTTAAAGTGGAACTAGTTAAAACTTCTGAAACCTTCAAGCCTGGACTAAAATACACATGTTTTGTGAGTATATCTTTCTTGTGTGCACTTATCATTTGGTTCTAAGTGCTGTAACTGAAGAGAGTGGTACTGACAGGGGTGAAAGTAAGCTGGTATGGTGTACTGGTAATAGTTTCAGTGCCAACATGCCTTAGTGGCAGAATATTTTGTCAAGGATGTAATTGATTTGACTGAGTGTGTAATGATTTGTAACTATGTTGGTGTATCGTAATATAATTAATTTAAAATATGCAATGTAGAACAAACAGTATTATCACATGTGAAAAATTAAATTGTTTTATTATTTATGATTATAATGCTTACTAAAAATGCCCACAAACAACTGAAATGGGCCAAAGTTTTCAAACCATGTCATTTTAATGTGTCCTTAGCCTCATTATTATAAGTAATTGGCAGGACACACCCAAGATCATATAATGGTAGAAAGATAACCTAAAATAGAAAATTTGGAGCAAAGATGTTATGTATTAGAGGAAAGTGAAGATTGAGAACTTATTCAAATAATTCATTCTGAAATTAGTTAATTAAAACTTGTATTAAAATGTCAATTATAAGCTACATTTTGATCTCAAGTTTGTTACATATATTGATAATAAGTTACAGGAGATAAGATGGTTGCATGGGTTGACACCATAACAATAAGAAATTACACAGGAAGTTATTTGTGTACATTGAAAGTTGCCTTCTCCTTAAGGGTTGAAATAATGTTTGTTGCATACTTTGTGTCGATAAAACAGTGAACTAAATGTTATTTGAAAAACAAATAAAGCTGAAATGATGCTGACTGATGTTGTCACAAATCAAAATGTGTTCAAGTTTAGCAGATAGTTTGTTGAATTTCAGTGATTGAATGATTTGGGGCAACTGAGCAGCCAAATTATATAAACAGTTGATGTGATATGGAAACATTGATTACTTTAAGTAGCAAGTGATGATTAAAATAATACTAGATAATGTAAAATATTAAAACAATATCTGAATTGTTAATGCTCCTGTATATTTCAAAATAGAACATAGAAATTATAAAATTCCATACTAAAGACAAATGAAATACACCTGTAAACTCAAAGTGACTAAATGAAAAAAGTGCAGATGTGTGAATTAATTATAAAATTCCATACTAAAGACAAATGAACTAGACCTGTAAACTCAAAGTGACTAAATGAAAAAAGTGCAGATGTGTGAATTATTGAAAAATCAACCTATAGAAATAATTGTCATAATTAATCAGTTTTCAAATAGTACTCACTGTAATTGTGTTAACAGATAAAATGTCCACTGTAATAAAGTGTACTAGTGACACTCCTTGTCTCATTCTAATCTTGTTGCAGTTAAAAGTTGCCTACCAAGATGACACTCCTGTAGATTACAGAGAGAACCAGCTAAAGGTGATGTATGGATTCTCTTATGATGAAAATGCATGGAAAACATCGATGCACTGGATACCTCAGAATGGACTAGTCAAACTAGATTTTTATCCTCCTAATCGTGATGTCTATGTTCTGGGGATGCAAGCTGAGTATCTTGGAAATATTCACTACATCGACAGTATTGAAGCAGCACACTCTCCCAGTAACAATTTCATACAAGTTGCCATGCTGACTACTTCTCCAGTAGTTGGCCAAAATGCTGAGTTTCAAGTGAATGCAACAGAACCCATCTCTCAGTTTGTGTATCAGGTATTGATTTCATAACATATTTATTGGGTAGCTGGTTTTGCACCTACAGAAATTATATTTTACAATTTAATGTAATAGTTGTAGGCATAGCTCTCCAATTTTAGAAGAGCGATAAGTGTAACTGTCATGTGTAGTTTCCATAATTAATTAATATTTTTAGGTGTCTCAAACTGGCAATGTGTACAACATATGTTTTTGTTGGTTTGCAGATATGATAGTAAGGATTGTGTGATTATAAGAATGGCAGAGTTCTAAGTGTAATGGAATATTGTATATAACCCATTAGTAACAGTGTATGAACTGTTTCTTGCAGGTTATGGGAAGGGGAGATATTATATATGCTCAAATGGTGAAAGTTCCTGAAGTTTCTACATACAATTTCAGCTTCCCACTTAATCACCGTATGGCTCCCAAAGCACGGGTGATAGTGTATTATGTCCGTGATGAAAACAAAGAAGTTATAGCTGATGCAGTCAACTTTGAAGTTGATGGCATTTTTAGAACAGAAGTGTGTATAATATTTTCAAAGTATTTTTATTGTGGTGTTTTTTATATAGTTTCATAACTTTCAACTAAAAAATACTGAGGTCTTAAGAAAATTATTTCAAGTAAACTTTTGTTCAGCTGTAAGTGAAATCAAAACTTTAATTTCAAGTAACTTGCTACTGTTTTTATTCCTATATTTGAAGATTGGGGAATTCATAATACTACAGAATTAAAGTTGACTAGTTTATGATTTGTCAACAACTTCATATCCATTAGGTATCAATTTCCTTTTTTAAACAGGTGTATTATTGTCAAAATATTCAATTTCTGCTTAATATATTTCTGATCCATAATTATTTCATTTATCATATATTATATATATATATATTTAAAAATTAAGTACAAACTTGAGAGGAATTTCAAAATTGTTATGTTTTGTTTTCTTTTTACCATTTAAACATTGAAATGTTTAGACTTTCTCTGGTAAAAAAATTCCATTACTTCAATTTTTTTAGGTGGACCTCAGCACAGATGTACAAACAACAAAGCCAGGAGGTCAAATAGAAGTGCAAGTTAAAACTAAGCCTAATGCATACGTTGGAATTTTAGCTATTGATCAAAGTGTTCTTTTAATGAAATCTGGTAATGACATAACACAGCAGAATGTAAGTATTATTAATAACCAATGATGTCATAAAACACAACTTTAAGTCATCTTAATTGTAAACATATTCCATCACCATGATACACATGGTCATGAAGTGCATCTGTGAATGAAAAAATATTCTTACCTCTTAAATCTCTTTCATCCAAGTTTATATTTATATTATAATTGTTTAAAGAAAGTAGTGAATGCAGTTTTAAAAACTCATTGGCATACAATTAAGTATTTTGTGTCTTATTCTTAATGTATATTTTCCTATATTTGCAGGTTGTTGAAGAACTAGGAACTTATGATACTGGAAAAAAAAACAAATTTTGGCCTCCCTGGTACAGGCAACGTAGAACTCGTTCTCTTTGGTGGCCAGGTTCCACATCTGCATCACAGATATTTAGTGTAAGTGTACTGCTGAATGCTTTGTAAATGTGTGATTTATACATCAAATTTTCTTTTCTTTATTGAGGAAATTAAAAGCAGGTAAAAGAATGTAAACACTTATGTAACATGCTTGTTCCTTGAACTTTAGTAAAACATGTAAAAGCTACACTACACAAATCTGTTGGGTATTTACATTATTATTTACCACTCATATTTCTGTGGTGTTTGTTTAATATTGCAGTAACTAAATTAGATGTACTTCTTTGCATTAATTATGTGCTGAAATAGCACTGTCGTCATAAATCATAGTAGTACTGATGCATTATACTTTGTAAAGTTTGTGCAACTGGAAATATTGGACTTGCTAGTTATACTTGATTATCTTGGACAGAAAAAAAAATCAGTATGTATTAAGTGAGTGATAAAATGTTCACATGCGTGCATCATCATGTGGGTTTAGCTTGGAACCTTACTTCATAAATGAGGGTTAATAATATTGTAATTTTTTCGTACTTTAGATCGTTATTTTTTTTAAAGTGCCTAAACAATAAACCACTTAAAAGATAATTTTTACTGAAGTGTTTTGCATATAATAGTTGCTAATGTATTTTCTGTTACTTTGAAGGATTCTGGAGTTGTGATCCTTACAAATGGTTTTGTGTACAAGCACGAAGAACTGAGTAAGTTTCATTACATTTGATTCTTACTTCAAAATAATTTGTTAACAACAGTTACAACACTTTGCTCTTAATCCCCCCCCCCCTTTTTTTTTTTTAGAACTGTATACCATTTTCCACTACAGTGTCCATCTGCCATAGATTCAACCATTTCAGATAATACATATATAAACTATAAATAAATATTTTATCCAAGGAAAATTAACTGTACATTGCTGAATATAAGAAACTTATAAACACGATGCTGGTAATTTAGATGCTTATTCATAGATCTTTTCAAAAGTCTGGTCCATTCATATGTATGAATTAAGATGGAGGTTCCCATATCTGTGGTATGTTTACCACAAGAGGTATATAATAATAAACTTTCAAAAATATAATAAACCCATTGCATCAATGTATTCCACTAGCCAGCACTTAATGTTGGCATATTGTTGATTCGACCTTGAATTATTTTTATTTACATTATTATTTAATACAAAATTGTCTTTGGTGTGAAACTGTTTGTAAGGTTTAATTTTGACTACATTGATGGTCCCACACGAATGTGTGTGTGTGTGTGTGTGTGTGTGTGTGTGTGTGAGCGCGTGGACGCGCGCACACACACACACACACACACACACTTATTTATTTATCAGATATTTACTTACAGATTATTACAACAGTGGTGAAGAACTGTTTTGTTTGAATGTAATAATAATAATAATAAGACAATAATAATCTTAACCTCCTATGGTATTTTTTTATTCAGTTTGTGAAAATATATTCGATGCCTGCTCAGAGACAGCTTATCAGCGGACTGTATAAGGCTGCATATATTTATTACCCTTTTGAAAATACTATTTACCTATAATAGTTTTAAAATGGTGAAGTTTGAAGGGGTGATCTGCAAAATTGTACTTTTCACATGTTTCTTAACTTTCTTCTTTCTAAAGCTGTCTAAATCATAAATGTATCATCTGAAACTTTATTATTTTCTTACTTGCAATCTATTTGTTGTAGACCTTCCTTCCTACATTACATTGGAACACAGGTTTAAAACGAGTCTGTAATGTGTCAGTTGTCTGAATGTATGTCATGGGTGAAGTTGACTGTTGTTATTTATAAGTATGTAGGCCATAGATAATTTTGATGTATAAAATAGTGTGGTGAATGCTATCTATTTGTTTTAGTTTTTTATCCGACCATTTCTTTCACCAAAAGGCATACTGTGTATGTTTGTTAGGCCTACTAATTGCAAGTGTATCAACACTATTTAGTTGGTCATTAGGCAAAGCATACATAACAGTGTAATAAATAGCTGTTACACAGTGTTTTCATTGCATTAAGCCATAAGTTGACCATAGTAAAATAATAAACAAAAAACAAATCAATGTTCCCTGATTATTATGACATGATTGAAATGCTGTCTAGATTTTGAGACTTGTATTTTTTTTATTAATGGAAGGTCAAAGTGGTCATAATACTGTACAGTGGCAGCAAAAGGGATAACACATTATGTTGGATGCTACATTTGTATTAATAAACTTACAATATGCATATTGTTTTTTCATTTTTTTTAATACAAGGTATTGTTTTTATTTGAAGTATTCTATAGATCCTATCCAGTAGCAATGGAGGATGACCCTTCATTGAAAACGATGAATGATGTTCAGTCTGTAAACAACAAAGACAAGTCCTCTGTCAGACTTAGAAAATATTTTCCTGAAACTTGGCTGTGGACTGACACAGAAGCAAGGTATGGTGATTAGGCTGTGAAGCAAAATGTCCAGAATTAGAGTAATTATATAATGTTAACACCATTGTAAAAAATATTTACATAAAAATATTTCAAATATTAAATCCGATACATCAAAACAGGACTAAAATAACATTTGATTCTTATTTTCATGGAATTAGCATTAATGCTTCTTCATTGTTGTTTCACCTATAACATTTATAATAGCTTTTGTATTTTCAATAAAAACCTCCATTTTTTTCTTTCTATTTATTTTTTATTGGGATTATTGTTTTACTGCTTATTAATGCCTAAAACCATGCATATTTCTTGTCTTTTTTGTTGATGTCTAGGTTAAAATTACATTTACCTTGGTTGTGATTTAGTCAGATTTATTTATTTTGTATTAGTTAAGGCAGTAAGTTAATGGAAGTTAGTACATTCTTAAAGTTCTTGGTATTTTCAGTTTGATTTGTTAGCTACCTAGTATACTCTGTAGATGAGTTGATACTCTCCTGTTACAATTAATCTCTAGTTATCTATTCAAACTTTTTTTTTTCTTTTCATAAACCTTGGATAGAACACTCAATTTTTTTCATTCTACATCATCCACCACACATGTTAACTAAGAACTCAATTATTGATGTATTACAGAATCTCGTTTTATGGATTTTCTTTGTTTTGTGTTAGAAATATATTCCTTTTTCATTATTTAAACAAATGTAATATCCATCTGGTTTGTTTCTTCTTATTTAGTGATGATGGCATAGCTTCTGTGTCTAGTAAAGTTCCTGACACCATTACTTCCTGGGTTGTTAGTGCTTTTGCCATGGATTCAGTTGCTGGGCTTGGAATAGCACCAAGTACTACAAAGGTAATTCAATACAATTCAGTGCAATAATATAATGAAATAAGAACACCAAGCACTCCTAAAATAATGTTAAATTGACAAACTGATTTTATAAGCATAATGAGGTGGTTTTATTTTGCTGAACATGCATGTTTTAGCCTGTCTTCTTACATACCCAACTACCACCAAACAGCCGTATTGTAAGGACTGTTAAGAGGATACCAAAGACTACTAAGAATTTTGATTCATAATATTTTTGTACTTTTAGTGTAAAATATTAACAGTGAGGATATTACTTGATTTTAGATTTGTATCAGTGTATAACGAAGTATCTCCAGCCATTCTCTTTATTAATGTATTTTATTCTTCCTTTTTTTTTTGTTGTGAACTATGTAATTAGTTTATATTTGATATGAAATTCTTTTTTTTGACAACTTTAAGTACATTTTCATATTTATTTTAATGTAATATTTACGTTTGTTCATGAATCTGTTTCATCACCTTTAATCTTAATGTCTTTTAAAATGCAGCAATACTTGAACACTCCACCTTGAAATGCATATTTTAGAAACATTAGTGGTTTCTTAATTCCTTAAGTGTACATTTCTTAACTCATTATATTTGTGTACTTTAAAAAAAGAAAGATGTATGTTTGTGTGTAGTAGTTTGTTTTATAGCTACAGATGATATAAATATTTTTAAGCCATGAAGTACAATTTTTAACTTTGACTACATTATATTTTGAGAAATTATATTTTTAGTAATGTGTTTGACTGATACAATAAATTAAGTAACGTTCACCACACATTATTCATAAGATGCTGGAAACATGAGATTAAATTATTTTATTACGAGTTACAGCTTTTACAGTAAGAAAGTTTTTTTTTGGAACAAATAAGACTTTTTCGATTAGTAAGTAAACCCAAAATGAAACTATGAGATTAAATTGTTGTATTTTCCACAGGTGACAGTTTTCCGTCCATTCTTCATTAAGTTGAACCTGCCTTATTCCATACTAAGGGGAGAATCTGTTGCTATTAAAGCTGTGATCTTCAATTACCATAATAAACCTATCAAGGTAAACAGACAACATACTATGAAAAATGTGTATAAAAATGTGGCCACAACAGTTGTGAAAAAGCAACTTGTTTTATGGAATAATCTGTAAAATTTTCTCACCACATTTTAATATGAACACACTTGTTTTTTCTTTTTCTCTTAGAAGATTCAACAAATAAAATTATTTACTATTGAGTTGTTTTCTACATGTACAATATGAGTTAATCATTAAGAAAGCAAAGCAGAAAAAAGGTTTTTGATTTTTAGAGCTTCAACATAAACCACCAAAAAAAACTGAAGGATTAGTACAAAACTCAAATATTGATAGCTTCAAAACTGTTTTTAAAAGGTAATTAGATCATTTAAATGAAACTACAGGGTATGGAAATCTAACTAAAAATGTGTATGAAAGATAATAATTTGAGAAATCTAGAATGGAATTTTTATTTATTTTCATCTTTAATTGAAGTTAGGAGTTTTCCATAAAAAAAGGGAGAGGGTATACTTCATTTAAAGTCATATAAAAAAAAAACAAAAGTATAAATTTGTAGCCATAATTTATACTCAGATAATACTCTTTTTCCTTTATTAGTAAGATGATTTTATATTTATTGATGCAGTATGAAGAGTTGAATATTTAGCCTTGTATGTAAATTATCTTTCTAGGCTAAAGTAACAATGGAAAACAACGATGGTGACTTTGAGTTTACTGTTGTGGGAAATGAAGTCACTCCTGATCAAGGTTTACAAAAACGGAGATCCAAAAGGATATCTGTAAGTTTATTTTTTGGTTTAGAATTTTGTTAAAGTGAATTAATTGGAACTTGTATGTTTTTGAAATGCATTGTATAATATAAAGACTTTCCTAAATAAACATTTTGATTTTCAATATGTAATATTGTTGTTCTCTTAGAATATGTAGTTTTTTAACATATAATTTTAAATATAGCATTTTTCTTTAAAACCAATCTGTATGTAAAGTGTGTGTGTGTGATTAAGATATTTCCATACAATGTCAAAGACATCTTATTATAATGGAGATTGCATGTCCAAAACTCAGATCTTGGAAACTACTGCACCAATCATAACTAGGTATTATTTTTATAACAAGGCAGTATTTTTATAGCCGAGCAATAAATAAAACAATTAAAATTTCCACAAAAATGTCTCGGATTTAACCAATAAAATTACAAACAAAAAAAAATAGTAAGTTTTGAATATAAAACAATCAAAAAAACAAACTTAAAAAAGTTTTTTAGTGAAAATCTCGTGAATGTTGCAACAGAAAAGCAAGGCACTTTCATTGATAATTGATTCTACAAAGAAATATTTGAATAAAATATTCTCTGATGTAATGCTGTGATGATAGCTCATTTTAAAACCGAAATGTCAATAAAATCCTTTTTCTCATACTTGAGATTCAATAATGTTCACCATTCATGAGTACATTGTTCTAGAACCGTCAGACAATTCCAAAAAAGGCTGTAGGCCCAATAGCCTTCTGCAGTAACTAGCAGTTATACCTGCCCTCTGGGCAGGTAATATCAGCTAGTATACAATAATATAACCCATACGAACTAAGTTGGTTAAAAAAAAAAAGTGCCAGTTTAAATTGTCCAGGTGTTATAGAACTAAGTATTACACTAGCATTCCTTTACCTGGTTAAGATTAATCAGTAAAATTTTTTTTTTTCCTATAAGCTACTGTAATGGCACCAGGTTCATAAAATACCTTTTCACTGCCAATAATTTTTTTTATTTACTTTCACCCCAAATGGGATTAATCAGAAGATCCATTACTGCTGTCAAAACCACAGTTTGCAGTTCACAAGTTTCTAGGTTGTTATCCTTCCAGTTAAAAAGCTACCCTACATATTTTTTCTTGGCCAATCAACATAAAAATGGTGACTCACCCCTATTTCATATATTGCCTATGTCAAAAGCAAAATAAAACTTGCAAATTTTTTGTTATTGACCAGAAGTATCAACAGAAATTTGAGCATAACTCAAATAATTGACTTTTGTTGAAATGTAGACAGTTTTTATTTTTGTTTCTGAGGTATGAATTTTTTTGTCAGTATACAAAAACTAGTTTAAACATGCTAAATTTGAACATATGTAAACCTTGGAAAATTCTGGACTCGTTTATTAGGATTTATATAACCTGCTGTTGGAAGATACAAAATGAAGTTTTAAAATTGAAATATGTTTTATAGTTAATGAAAAAAAGATTTTTGCAAAGAAAGTATTGAGTGGAAGAGCACATCATTGAAGTATGTTTCTCCAAAAAAAACGTGTGAACTAATTTTTGTATTACTCTTATTATTAGATTCCTGCACAAGATGGAGCTCCAGTGTCATTTATAATCACTCCTCGTCGTCTTGGTTACATAGACATCAGAATGTCTGCAACTTCACAGCTTGCTGGTGATGCTGTTTTGAAAAGGTTATTGGTTAAGGTTTGTATCATGTATTTTTTACAATTTTAAGTACTCTATGATAAGTTTAATATTTACAATATCTCTTCATTCTCTTTAAACATAAGATCTAATAAAATAACAGTTGATGATAAAGTTTTTAGAAAGATCCCCAAGATCTTAATGTAATGTGAAAAAGGTACCTATTAAAAATAATAATAATAATGTAGAAGCTTTGTTTTGGAAAGTTGCCAATCAAAAACAGAGGGTAATAAAACTGGGATGGGTGGATAGTGTTAGCTCTCTCTCTCTACAGGCTCAACTGATACAGCCTAAAAAATTTACCATTAAAGGTTCCATATTATAACTTCTAATATGTTTATCTTCAAGAAATTTTGCAAGCTTTCAGCAAGCATTGTCATTTGTAGACAAACTTTTAATAAAGTTTTTTCACTAAATTGTTTTCTATGAACATATAGTCAGGGTTGACTGCTTCGATTGCAAAGTGATCTTCATGTTAACCTTTAAAGTACTTTTCCTCGTATGAAGACTCCAAATTTAGTTTGCTTAATCTCTGAAATCTCCTAAATAAATTGCAATTTTTTTTCCATTAAAATCTTATTTCTATACCCTAAATTTATATGAGGTTTATCAATTTGACCGACCTCCTAACCACCAAAAACAAATTCAAAATATACTTAAATTACCCTCTTTTTACTTTTGTGGAATGACTTCAAATTGTAACCTGAAACTACATTTTTTTTGTATCCTAAATACTTTTAAACTCTTAATAGTATACATCTGTTTATACTTTACATTTATTGTTTTATTGCCCTTTCAACTGTGTCTAACTAATATTATTGCCACACAAGTTCTAAATCACTTGGGAAATGTGTAGCTCACGTTATCCTATCAAATTATATAACACACAAACTATTCATAAGTATATCTCGCAAAAATGTTTTTATTTATTTATTTTTCCTAGTCTAACCTTATCTAACCTAAAATTTCTAATTTTTACATTTGTTACTTTCAGAATAATAAATAAAAAATACACATGAAAAATGGCAAATGAAGTACTTACCCAATCTTCTTTCTTGCTGTTGATTGTCAATGACACAACCCTATCAATAAACTTTTTTCTACTAATAGTACTACTGCACCAAATTTATTTAAATAAATAATGAACCAAAGAACACAGAATGATAACATGCAAAAAGCTGAAAAAGTCTTGTAACTATCAGTTTTTCTAGCTTTCTAACTATATGACAAGAGCTATTAAAAATTCAGCTATGTTCGTGGATGTTTTCTTATGTGAATAAAGTCTGAACTGGGAGTGAAATAGATAAAAACCTTGGCTTTCTATTGGTTATAAATATAGTATTAACCCTATCAACACAGGTCAAAGGCTATGTCATTGTGTTTGTTGACTTGCATTCAAAATTTTATTGATCTACTATTTTATGAATGTATGTCAATAAATTTGGTATGAAATTGTAAATTATAATTTGAATGTTAGTATTATACATTAGTTAATTTCTTAATTGAAAAGTAAATATTAAAAAAGAAATTCTAAATATCAATTTTTGTGTGTCACGTGGTATGTTGAAAAAAACTCCTATAGCTACAGTGTTTTTCAGGAAGATATTTTCAGGCTTGTTACCATAAGGTCCTCTGTGAGTTCAGTAAATTAAATGAGTTCTAAAATATAACTTGTATTACATAATTGTTTCAAATTTAACTTGTATTTCCCTGATGTGTTCTAGGTTAGTGCATTTAGAGATTAGTTATTGTTACTATTTATTGCTGAACAACATTTTGGCATAAGATTAGATTAAGAACTACAGTGATTGTAAGGTATATGTTATATGAAAAACAATTACAGATTTTTGAATATCTCTTAAAAGACTTGTACCTTGCATCATTTTTTAATGCTCTCCTCAGATAGTAGTTATATTGAGGTGAATTAATTGTAAATACTTAATACTCTCATCCTCATCTTTCTTTCTTTCTCAGCCTGAGGGTTCAACGCAGTACTTCAACAAAGCTGTTCTTGTGGATTTAAGGAACCCAGGCACTCCACCAATCAAGAAAAACATTTCTGTTCCTATTCCCAATAATGTTGTCCCTGGCTCAGAGAGAATCACAGTTTCTGGAATTGGTAAGTAATCATGTATACTCTCAGGTTATCCATTTTAATGTTATTTTTGAAACATCTTTCATTTATAATTGTGGCAAAATATGAAGTTTGTGGTGTTCTTTTTTTTTTTTTTATCATTATACATTACATATACTAGCATATAACCCAGCAGAAATGACGGGGGCAATTACACCCACCCCATAATATACCCTAACCTCACATTTCGTAGCTAACTGAAATATATAAACTTTGTGAAATCAAGCTTGCCCAACAAACAGGCACAAAAACAAACAAACATGGCTGTTGATTAACATTTTGACTTCTTGGTAAAGCCTTATATTTAGCCATGCCAAAAAAAATGGTTGTTTAAAATATATTCCTACATGGTCAAATGTTCTAATCCGTGATTTATTAGTTATTATGGCAAAGTCAACAAATTTTATTGTGACATGCAAATGCACGAAGGTATGACTTTTCTTAAAATATATTTAAATGTTTTGATTAAATATCTCCTCAGGTGAAAGATCGGTAATGTATTTTAGTGCCATCGATTGTGTTAGAAAAATGTCTAATTTGTTTTTGACACATGTAGTCACTCGTGCTTATGTAATATGATATTATGCCTGATTTAATATATAATTGTATTTGTACTTTTACAAATATTCAAATAACTTGTTATAAATATATGAAAAAATTAAATATAATAATAATAATAATAATAAAAATCCTGACTTGACTGGGATTTGAATGTGATAGTATTATATTCACTGTGACACCCAGTCTTTAATTGAATGTTAACAAATAATTCAAATCCCTAATGTAAACTATCATGTTATTTTGTTTTTTCCTAATATTGTAATATCTTTCTCTAAACATGATAATAAGTTGATAATTGGTTATTTGAGAAAAAACAAAAAAAACTAATTGACTGGGTTTTGAACTTGATTTCTGCTTGTGACAAACCACTGAGCCAATTTGAACGTTACCAACAGAGTCGAGTGTTACAGACAAAGGGAGCATTTTGAACATAGGGTGGCTTTTATTATATAGATCAGTTAAGTTTGTCTGTGTTCAAAACTCGCCACTCACTCTGATTGTACATAAATATTTCTGAGTTAACTCTCCAGACTACTCTTTATTACATAATGCTGAATGTTAAAACATTGATGGTTTAGCACATTTCACAGTAATGTTTTGATAACTTAGCCTTCATGTTATGATAGGCAGGTTGAAATCACTTCTGTGGTCAATGTCTATAGACTACTTGTTAAACAAATTTTAGGCATATAGGGATCATCCAAAAAATTCTTTGCCATAAATATTTATCACCCCCTCACCCAATGAAGTAATTTTACTTACAATTTGTTTGGGATTTTATAGTCTGTCTCGAAGTCTTAATGAAATTTAACTTTACGTTTTCCAAAGGTTGTTGGTAGTACATAAAGTAATTTTTGTTTGTCTCAAATATGCAAATTATAACACAAAATATAAACAATGTTACTAAACTATTATAATTTAACTGGCTTTCTAACTAAGTGGGTTAAAATAATTTGGTTAGCTGGTAAAGGTGATTTCTGTGATGGCAAACAATGAAACTGTAGGCCAAATAATTAAACTTATCAGAATGAGCTAACCTAATACCAATATTATTAAATTAAAATGTTTTCTTCCTATTGGTTATAAATAATCCAATGGGAAATGTAGGGGAATTGACTTTTCTTTTTCTTCAAAGACAGGATGTGATAGGACATGTTATGTTTGACTTTCTTGCGTAATCTAAGTAAAATAAGATTTGAGGCTAAATTTGCACTATGGCTTAATAGTATCTGTACTACAAGTGTGCAGTTTATCAAACTCAGATTATGTAGGAGTAGAAAAAAAAACTAAAATGGGCAATTTGGTGTGAAGGAGTGTTATGATTGGTTACTTATCTAAGTACTTGCTTTTGAAATTAGAAAATGACGAATTAAATATTAATTTGAATTGAGAATTATGTTTTAATACCAAGTTTATTGACGTGCATTGATAATAAAGTTGTTTCACTATATTTTGACTGTAACTGTACAAGTGTATGATATATAACTTCACACACTCACTCACTCTCTCACTCTCACACATGTACAAAGAGTTAGAGTTTTCTATGCATAACTTTTATGGTCATTTCACTGGATGCATGCTACTAATTGTAGTTTCTGTAACTGGTAAAAGTATAAAATTAAGTTATTTAAGTGTTTTGCTGCCTACTTTAGAAATCGACATCTGGTGAACTTTACAGACGAGCAAGTTCTGTACTGCTTGAACTTTGTTTACTCTTGTTTAGTTTGTATAGATGCTTAAAAACCAGAAAAATGTCTAAAGAGCTGACTTCCATAAAATTAATCAGTGGAATGATACAAATATTAGCAGTTTAAGTCACAAAAAAGTGACTTGTTTTGATTTATGAAATTATTTGTTATTCAACTGTATGTCTAGCTGTGTGATATCAGCCTATAAACAAACATTCCTTAGTTGAAAAAAGTGTTTTGTTTTAAGTGTTTTATGACAGTCCATTTACTTGTTAATCTAGCAATCAACAATTATAACTTTACAAGAAGTTACTGTGTATGTATGAAGAGATATTAATAGTTTGTGCATCTTGTCTTTCAAATGTCATAAATAGAATTCTGTAGATGATTAAGTAAACTTCAACACTACCTTAACTAAAATTCCAAAGCAAGTGTAATTTCAGTTGTACATGTCTTGAAAATACAAAGCAGCTAGTTTCAGAAAGACTGAACATATCAACACAGTTGTGTTGTTATTTTTGTTTGAAAAACTTTGATATTAATAGTGAGGGTAAACAGTGCTTAAAAGTTTATTTGGCTTATTTATTTTGTTAATTATTATAATAATGTTTGACCAACTTCATCAACTATATGTACTCGTTGAAAGAAAGTGAGAAGTCACTAATAATATTTGATATGATAGTCTTTGGTTATGTTCAACAAAAATGTAGCAGTGATATCCACCAAGATAGTTTCCTTTAAGAAGGATCTTGGAAATCATTATAAAAGGTGTGAATAGCACTTTGCATGATATATCTGTCATGTTCCTAACCAAAGTTTTTCTACACATTATTTGATTGTTTACATGAAAAATATGAGAAAGAATTATTCTAATATGAACTTGAATGCTTGTTTCTATCCTATATGTTCAAATAGTAAGATGCATTTTTAAAGTTCTGGTAATAGTTAACACTCAAAATCCATATTTTTGGTAATAAAAGAAGTGAATGAGGGGGACATATAACTATGAAGTTAAGCCAATATGAACTTGATAGTTTGTATTGAACATTCCATTCAATAAAATGAAGCTTGCTGTATAGGGTTAATGTTTTAAATCGTTTCCCCCCTTTTTTTTTCAGGGGACTTGATGGGGCCACATGTTAACAACATGGAAGAACTGTTGCACATGCCTTATGGGTGTGGAGAACAGAACATGTTAAAGTTTGTTCCAAATATTGTTGTTTTAGATTATTTGACTCGAGCTGGACGACTGACACCAACAGTGGAGCGTAGAGCTAAAGAGTTCATGGAAAGTGGTGAGTATGTAGCACACACACAGATTTAATTCATGCAGCATCTTGGAACATGGGAAGTTGTAGTTATCCACCAGTTATTTGTCTTGAAGAGTAACTTTGCTATTTTATCTCTGTATTTGGTAATCCTCTGTTTTCTGCTACAGTATAACCCTGAGAACCATAGGTTACGTAACTCGCGTATGTTTTGCTAACATGGGGAGTGATGTGTATCTAACTCACCTAGGTTTTGTTCTTGCAGTATATACCGCAATATGGGGAATGGCAAGTAATTAACTCACCCAGGTTTTGCTCTTGTAGTGTATCCCACAACATAGTGATTGGTGAGAACCTAACTCACCTAGGTCTTGTTCCTGTAGTATCCCATAACATGGGAAGTAGTGAGTACTTAGCTCACCTAGGTTTTGTTCTTGTAGTATATCCCACAACATGGGGAGTGGCTAGTACCTAACTCACCCAGGTTTTGTTCTTGTAGTATATCCCACAACATCGTGATTGGTGAGAACCTAACTCACCTAGGTTTTGTTCCTGTAGTATCCCATAACATGGGAAGTAGTGAGTACCTAGCTCACCTAGGTTTTGTTCTCTTAGTACCCCACAACATGGTGATTGGTAAGAACCTAGTACACCTACGTTTTATTCTTGTAGTATATCCCACAACATGGTGATTTGGTAGGTGTACTAGGTTCTCAGTTTTTTTCTTGTAGTATATCCCACAACATGGTGATTGGTGAGAACCTAGCTTATCTAGGTTTTGTTCTTGTAGTATATCCCACAACATGGGAAGTAGTGAGTACCTAGTGTGCCTAGGTTTTGTCTTTTTATTCCTGAATATGGAAAATTGTGCAAAAGCATAGTAAAATTGGAAGATGGACATTTCACTATCTTTGTATATAAATGAATAAATGTTTAAGTAATTGGTTGGAAATGCTTTTAGATCTTTTTTGCACTGTGAAGAAGTGCGAGTAGTTGGTGTAGAGAATGTTTTGGTAGAATACAGCCAAGGTGGATATAGTTAAGGAAATAAAGCATCAGATTTTCTATTAACCCTATCGCCATGGGTATCCTTTACTGAGCATGATACAAGGCTTTAGTGTCTTACATTCAAAATTTTATTAAACTACTTTAGTATAGCATAAAATCTTGGCTAATAATCCATATTTTAATAGTATATAAGTTTTAAGTTCTTAATTCTGCAAGGCGATATTTAAAAACAAATCCTGAATAATTGTTAATTTCAGAGTACAAGCTCCATTCCCGTGGGAAAGCTAAAAACTGGCTTGGATGAATTTGTAATGGCTCTTGTCTCATAGTTAGAAAGCCAGAAAAATTGATTTAGGGAAAATTGTCTACTTTTTGCATGTTATTAGTCTGTTTGGTGGATTATTTAATTAAATAAAAAATTTAGTGCATTACTACCATTAGTATAGATAATTTAAAAAAAAAAAAGTAGGGTTAAGTGTCATTGACAATCAACAGCAAGAAAGAAGTTTGGGTAAGTATTTGTTGTTTTTCATGTTTATTCTTTATTTATTCTTATAAAAGTTACTAAAATGTAATAACATGGATCATTTTAGGTTAGTTAAGGTTAGATTAGGTAAAATAAATAATGCAATAAAAATGTTTCTTGAGGCATGCACACAAGCATCTCGTGGGTAATGTAATTCGGTAGCATAATGTGAGCTGCACGTTTCTAGAGTGATTTACAACTTTGAACCATGTCTAACTAATATCTGCACCATTATAAGGGCAATCAAAAGGGGCAATAAAACAAAATTTAATTATAAATAGATGTATACTGTTACTACTTTAAAGCTACTGAGGATAAACGATTGTAGTTTTTATTATTTGAAGTCATTCTAGAAAGAAAAAAAAAGGGGTAATTTAGATTTAATTCTTCTTTTTATGGTTAGAAGGTCAGTCAAGTTGACCATTTCCTTAGAGATAGGGTAGAGAAAATAACAGAAAATATGAAGTTACTGAAAATAAATATTTGAAATTTATTTAGGAGGTTTTTAGAAATTGCACAAAGGAAATTTGGGGTTTTTGAGATGAAGAAAAATATTTTTTCAAAACAAATACTTAATATATTCATGGACAAATTGTTATTTTAGTTTATTAAAAATTGTTCACTAAAAATTTGATTTTTTTTTTATCTGAAAGACTTGTGTTAACTGAAAGACTGCTAAATTTTGTTAAGATATACTCACTATATTGAAAGTTGTGTTAAGTGTAAAAAGACTTTAAACGAGCACAAAAAAGTCACGTGGTCAGTCAGATTGACCAAGCCAATGTTAATAGAGTTAATGTGCTGTATTACTTTGAACTGAATTTTGAATTTTTCTTCTTGTAGGCTATCAGCGAGAATTAACATACAAACGAGATGAAGGCTCATTCAGTGCATTTGGTAATGGAGACAAGAGTGGAAGTACTTGGTTAGTTTCATGTTATGTTGCAGTCTCTTTCTTAGTGATTTTGTAGCTGAATTTCATAAACTTTTAATCATGAGATTGAAGTGTCTTATTGAAATTTATATTATTTAAATTATTGGGACATCTTGTATTCCATGGAAAGTGGGGAAATTTGAAAAGTTTATTTAAATATTTTATTGGAAAAAGGCTCTAGAAAACATATCATTGGATTCAGTGTGAAAAAACCCTTGTCAAATTATACTCGTATAGCCCATGGAAATAGAAATATTATATTCATCAAGTAACTTATTGTAAGCCCACATTATAAGTGAGAAGGAGTTAAACTTGACACAGGAATTTCAATGTATCAAGATCTTTGAATGTTTAAACATTGGTACTCTTTTGAAAGAAAACATAGTTCAAGGAAAACAATTTTTGTTGGAGACTTTTTGTGCAGCAATGTATTCATATTAGTTTATCTCTTCTATGTATAAATGTTTCCAAACATTACTTTTTGAATTTTTCAAGTATAATTATAGTTTAATTGTTTGTGTTTATTCCTTTATTTATATTTAACGTTGCAGTTAGTCGTTGCTGCATAAATCTCGGTTTCAGATTTTGTGAATTTCGCAGAATATTCAGTATTAAGCAACGAATGAAGTAGTTTTTTTTAAACACACACTCACTCACACAGAGAGAGAGAGAGAGAGAGATGAATTTCTTGTAGTAGCCATGCTAGTTACTTTTCATAGGCAAACAGTCATGATAAGCAACTCTGCCTGTGAGTCTGTCATGTAAAGGTACACTTCATCAGTAATTATGCTAATGATTATTTCAGGTTGACAGCTTTTGTTGTGAAGTCCTTCCATCAAGCTCTTCCATACATAGATATTGATCCTGCAGTGATTGAGCAGTCATTAAAGTGGTTATCTCAGCAACAGATGAGTGATGGATCATTCAATGAACCTGGGGAAGTCCACTTCAAACGAATGCAGGTAAGATCTGGATGTTAGAGAATCAGAAATGCTCTCAAAACAAAGATTTTTGTAGAAATATACAAAATAATTTTCTGCAACACAGTGCAACCAAACTCGGATGCGAAAACAACACATTAAAAAACATTTCTCATCATATCCACCTTATTTGAAACAAAAAAAAAGATATACTCTATACTCAAATTGCATTTTATGCTCTTGATAACAGTCATGATAAATTGGGAAACCAAACTAATGATAAACTGAATCTAAGTCTCTTAGTGTGTTTTGTCAGTCCTAGCTCTATCTTGAAAAACATTTTCTGTACCAAAAATATTAAGCTGTGTAGTAAACACTACGATAATGGACATAGCATGTGATTGTGTATCTATAGATATATATCTGACTAAATTAAATACAATGTGGCGCCATCTATTGAATGGCACCACAAAACAAAATCCATAAATTTCGCATTTTGGGTATTCAAGATTCAAACAGAAAAATAACTGTGGGATGTGCAACAACCATTTCTTTATCACAGAGCACAATTTTAAATAAAACTATTCCTTGCAACAAGAACACTACTTTCACTACGGCTGTATGTGAGGATTTGAATATATATTTATTGATGTAATTTGTAAATAGTGCTAAAAAATGGAGTTCTAAAACAAATTATTTTTTTCGATAAAGGGCACCATTTTTAATGTATAAAAACTTTACAGCTTATATCTGGACAATCTTAACACTTTTCTGATGCAGTGCTTCCCAGAAAAATCCTTTTTTAAAAATTTGAATTTTTTCTAAAAAAAATTTTGAATGAGGTATGAATACTACGATTAGTAAGTACAAGGACAAATAGTCGCCCTTAGGATGGCATTTCTGTTAGTAATTTTAACCTATATTAGATAAAGTTAAAGTGTAAGAAATATGTTAGATTCTCAAACTCTTATTTTAAAAAAATGTTCTGTAACAGGCAGTGTGTGTGGGCTAGTCATTGGAGAATCAACTTTACCACCAGTCCAGGATACATTCGCGAGTGGAGTAAAAAAAAAAGGTCACTAACTCTAAGTTTACAGTTAGAATAAATGATCGACGCTAAGACTGAAGTTTCAGAAACACAATCAAGATTATATATAGAAACTAAACTATCAATGAAGGAAAATATGTTTGAAAATATATATAAAATATTCGAGTTGCTGGGCTTGACTCTGCATTCCCATGTTATACTTGAATAAATCTTTAGGAGAAAGGGAGGAGGTTGGGAGTTAACTATATAAGAACTATAGTTCTGTTTATTTCTGTTCAATATCTTATACTTATTTTTAATATATTTTTGTCAGGATGGAGGTTGGGATTTTAACTAGTAGAAATATTAGGGTGGCTTCATTTCTACTCTAAGAAATTTAAGGGTAACTGCCTTCCCACAATTAACTTCTACTGCCTTTCATTGTCCATAGCCGAGATGTTGTGGGTGTAAGCATTCAGCTTCGTATCCTTATTTGATTTTGTTTAATGATTTTCCATGACTGCTGACTAGATTGACATCGGTGTTTGGTTTTTGTCTGATAGATGGGATATCCCCAAAGTATTTAGGTGCTATTAACCACAGACATTATCCATTATGACTGTAAAGCAATATTTAATTTATTATTGTTTCATAGTGCTGATATATAATTTGTGTGTGTGTGTTTATTTTAAATATATTCCTGATCACACCAAGAGAAGAATTTGTATTTGAAAGTTGATTAAATTGTAATATTTTCTGATTCTAAATATTTAAATTGCTTTCACAAATTTTGATTATTTTACAAAACGCCTTTGGCAGGGTGGAGCTGGGAAAGGAATTGCTCTGACTGCATATGTCCTCATAGCATTTTTAGAAAATCAGGTAAGTGTGTATTTTTCCTCTCTAATCATATAGTCACTAATGTTTCAGACTTGTCATTACATATCAGTGTAAATTGGTTCAGTACTTATTTGTCTGATTTATAATTCATTGTTTCTAATAATATCTCTTGTTATTTAACATGACTATTTTCTCTTCCTGTTGATTCAATGTGGCAAGTTGCGAAAAAGTCCAATAAATGTAAGAGCTTTCAAAAATATTTCTTTCAGGCACAGCAGTCTTACTCTAATATCATAAAGGCAGCAGAACGTTATCTGATTCAACAGTTGCCAGTTCTCTTGGATCCCTACTCTCTATCTATTGTAACTTATGCTCTTCACCTTTCTGATAATTCTGCTAAGGATGAAGCATTCCAAAAATTCTTAAGTCTTGCTGAAAAACAAGGTAGGTTGTGTAAATAAATGTGAATTATTTGACATGTACATTGTTTTAGAAAAAAAAAAAAATCTGTACCTAGATACTTTCACTTTGAATTAATATTGTTTATGTATTTGACTAGTAACTCATTAAACTAGTAATTATCATTATTAATTTTATTTTGCATATATTTAGTTTATAGGAATAAGTGTTAGTTTACTACAGTTCTTTCTTGTATTTTGTGAGGGATTCTCTATTTTCAAGTGAATACAGTTACAATAACTTCTCTTAATTGTGTAAAGTATCTTATTCTTTCATATATATATATATATATAGGTGTATTTATTATTTAAGGTAAAATGCAATAAAAATTGATGTTTAGGAACATCTGAAAATATTTATCATTATCCACAGCTTTAGATGAGATTTTAGGTCATTGAGTATTTACTCCCTGAAATCCAACTCAATGCTGAAAAGCGAAATTTCAATGAGTATTTAAAACAATCCATCTTTTTTATTCTTAAGGTACAAATTCTTCTTGCATATTATAAAGCATAAGCCTTAAGGAGAAAGAAAGGTACATGCACAATTCATTACCTTGACATTGATTTACCACATAGAGGTAGTCTTCTGTCTAAAGGTAGAAAGTCATTCTTTCTTAAAGTACTTCCCTGCAGTTCTATATCACAAAACTGGTATTTGTAGTTTGACTAGCCTGCTCAAAATCTGATATAACTAGCTTAAGTCTTTATATCATAGCTGAATACATATGGATAACTGAGTTTATAACAGAGTTTAGTTCTGCCTCTGCTAAATAAAAGATGTAAAAGATTCCATCATTTCCTGAGCATGATTACCATGAACTATAATTGTTTAACTTCAAAAACTTTCACATATTTACATGTTAAACTAATATATTGTACTTATTCAACAACGATGGGAGCTGAAGCATTTCTTTCGCTTCTTAGCCCTAGGTATGTATGGTTGACAAAGTTGTCCCTTTCTTTTTTTGTAACTCATAGCCTAACTGCTCTAACTGGATCATAATTTGTTAACTGAAGATTACTCATTTGAATATTCAAAAGACTGTCTAGAGTTTGCTTTCAATGAACATCTGTATTTGTTTTTTATTCTATTTTGGGCACTGAAAATCCTTTCACACTCAACACTTGTAACTGCTATACATAGAGCTATTGTACACAGCTTTGCAAACTCAGGCATTACTTCTTTATGCAGTTGTATAACCCTCTGACACAGATTCTGAGTAGGTAAATGTTTGTATAAGCCTGAAGTTGTACCTTTTAGCATGGGCCACTCTTTTCTTTGTCTAAGAGTTGCTGACTTGTTTTTGTTCTTCTCTTCATCCATCCTCCCCCCTGGGAACTGCCATGAACAAAATTTACCATTTGGTCAGTTCCATAAAATAGTGCAAGAGTCTCGAGAGCTTCTTCATTTTTACCATTACCTGCCGAATGTACCACCACTGGTTCCAGTAAGAGGCTAAAGTCTTAAAAAAATCTGTTTTCCTTTTTGAATCTGTGTTTTATATTCTTTTTAGACTTTATGTACATTTTTTTTTCAGGTCTGACAATTCATTTTCAATGTTTTCAGAATACTTAAGTTTTTTTTTTTTCCTCCATTCATAAAAGCACCAGTTTTTCCTTCTCTAAGTAGTATGCAATCTCTCATGCTCTTTACAGCATTTCCATCTCCTGATTCTAGAAAATCTAACTTTGATATTGTTGCTCCCATGAGTGGCTGTATTTCATGAAATATCAAATTTTGTTTTTGTAACTGCTCATTAAGAATTACAAGAACATCATGAATATCTAGCATAAATGACACTAGCATCACTGTCTTTATTCTGAAAAGTATTTGTGCAAACCATGGGCAGTGGCATTTTTTTCTTCTGCAAAGTTTGAAAAGGTAACCAGGTTTGAGCTATAACTCTCATACACAGCTTCAACAGTATTTTTAAGCCTAAGCCATCTTATGCTATGTGGCTATTTTATAATAAGTTCAGCCTCACCTAACAGTTGTTGAATACTGTTGAGTTTTGAAGTACGGTTACTTGACCCATTCATGAAATAATACAAAAAGTTAAAACTATCACTAAATGTTTTGAGAGTGTCCAACTTTTTAATTGAATCTGTCATAGCTAAGTTTAGGCAATGGACAATATGATGGGCTTGTACTGCAAAGGGGGAGTACTTTGATTTCATCTGCACACCAACACCTGTCATTGTTGATGCACCATTTGTTGCTAGAGAAACAATCTTAGCTGGGTCAAGCCTGAGGTTAATAAGGCACTTTATCAGGTGACTGACAATATGAACTTTTCCATCCTCAGTGACTACATTTTTTAAGAACTTTGTTACTGCTTCACCATTCTTCATATACCTTGTACATATTAATAAATCTGTGCTTTCATCTATCATTATTTCATATGTCTCAGACTGAAGGAGTTCTTCTATAAGAGACCTACGAATAACTACTTGTATATGATTGTATATGATTTATTGTTACATAGCTTAACTTCTTATATTTGATAGTTGCTCTGTTCAAATTCTTTAACTCAAGTAAACTGACTTTATCAGATGGTAACTCCTCCTTTCATACATAAAAGATGGTACGAAATAATTTACTGTCATCATCCGATACAGAGATTGAATTATCTTCCTTGTCATACAGTTTACTCTTGTCCCCAGATTTTTTAGTAAACCTTTCTCAGCCTGCTGGTATTCTGAAGACAGCCCTTGCCTCTCAATACTGTTCTTCTGACTAATAGGTAATCTCTCATTTACCCAAATGCTTCTCACTTTTCTCTCTATGCAAATGCTGCACTTCAGTTTCTTACCTACCTCTTCACCAACCACCACTAACCATAAATTTTTTCTTCCAAGACTAAATTGTCTTTTCATAAATGGTAGTTCCATAGTGTTCCTTTGATTACCAATTTCAGTGCATGAAATAAGATCTATGATTTTTGCAAACCATCTTTGCACTGTCTTCAGTTTTATCTCAAGTTAAATGTCTTTACAGCGAGCTGGTATTTGTAATGTAATTCTTCTTAAATTTCCTGGTCATACACTAAAATGTCTGAGACAACATTTTTGTCGTCCATGTATCATGAGTGCTTGATGAAGTTAATAAAGAATCCATAAACTTTTGCCAACTCGTATTGCATCAGATTTACTGGTTCAGATAAAATTGAAGCAGCGTATCATATTTACCTGGATAGCGAGAAACCAGTTGCGTATGCTCGATTAGCTTACCTAAATTTACGACAGGTAAAGACAGTGAATCTGTACCGGCTAATTTTCAAAGTATTTTTGTATGCCTAGATTTGATTTTAAATACATGTTTTGAGGAAAAAATATGAGTGAATACGCAGCACGTATCCTTATCTAGAGTTCTGATTTATCACACTTGTATTTTTCTTAAGTTATTTACGTTTACATAATTAACTTGACTACATTAAAAATAAAATGCTTTTATTCTATTAAAAACCCCATACTTCAATAAAATATTCTTATTAAAAGTTCATTTTATTTATGCCTTAGTTTACACCAATTATAAGTTGTTTTGCATGTGGGTGGGTTTGTGGACTGGATCCAAGAAATCTTGCCTTGCATGTTGGTTAAAATCAGGTAAATAAATTATTTCCATGATTATCATAACTTGTAGCAAGCATCTTAACTTTTGTTTTGTGGTAATGGTAAATTAAGAATTTCTGCAATTTTAAAAAAAAAAAAAAAAAAGTGAAACTGTGCAGAGTATTTAGTTGCAAGTTTATTTTTATTGTAGGAGATTTTCTATATTGGAAAGGATCAGAACCATTGATAGACACAACTGACAAGCATTCTGACCACTTCTTCCTACCTGATTCCATGGACATTGAAGTGACAGCTTATGCACTTCTTACATACACTTTACGTGCTGAAATTGGAAAAGCTGTTTCAATCATGAGGTGGTTGGTGTCTCAACAGAATGAAAATGGCGGGTTCTCATCCACACAGGCAAGTCTAGTTTTGATCAATAGTGTTTAACTTGGATTTTTCTTAACCTTATCTTCTGTTAGGTGTTAGAATAGATGCAATACATAAATTGTGACAAAATGAACTTTTAAAATTTTCAATTTGATGTACAACAGTACCAAATTTGGAAGTGAAGTTCAACCACCCAACATACTTCTACTTACATGTATTTGAAACTTATCTTAAACTTATGGGTCAATTGCTTGGACAATTAAGAACTTTTGTGAGAAGTGTGTATTCAAAATGTGTTTCTTGTTGTCAATGAGACCATTTTCACGTGTGTACCCATTCTATGGATTCTTGAGCACCTCCAAAATTTATTGATGCAAGTTCCATTGAGCACCTTGGAGCTTTGTTGCAGAAAAATACACCCCACACCCTCCAATAATTTGTGAAAGTTGGTGCTGAGGTACCCAATTCTATATGCATATGAGCCATAGTTCATATGTTACTTTTAAAGAAAGTTTTGACTTTTAAGAACAATTTTTGAAAACTATTCTGATATCTTAACAAATAACTTAATTCATATGATTATTATTTATCAATATAATTTCAGGACACGGTTATTGGGATCCAAGCTCTTGGCCAATTGGCTGCACGTATTGTGACATCAACCATCTCTGTGAATGTTACTTTCAGGCATGGAAATGGAGTAACAAGGACCATGAACATTTCAAGTAGTAATGCAGTTATCCTGCAAAGTATTGAGGTATTTTGTGGATTGTATTTTGTTAGTATTTTTATTGACTCATTGGTTTCAAAATAACAATATTGCAAGCAGTGAAATATTTATAAAATTAAATCTTAGCCTGAGTGATAACCAGCATCCTAAAATTGCAGATATAGTTAATATTATAATCTGAAATTTGTCAACAAACCTCATAGCATCAGTTCAGTGATAGTTAATTGATGGAACTTCAAGTCTGTAGATGTAAGTGACAACTGTATAAGCTTGGTGGGATGTCTGTCATCAACATGGCTCAGCTCACTAGAGCCAATATTTCTTGGCTGACCTAGTGTTGTGAGATTATCACATCTGAGAATAGGTATTTTAACTTGTACTGTTGCTAGGGGAATAAAATCGATTGCTAATTGGTATTCAAAGGCATTAGTATCAAAAGAACAGAAAAGTGTTTTTTGTAAAACAAACATCAATGTACACAAGTGATCTTTCAGTTGGATTTTGTATTCAAAATATGTAATATATGTTTTTGATTTTTAATTTTAGTGAATATTAAAGTTTTGTTAACCTCTTTTTATAATAAAACAAATTTCATTGTTTGAACTTTCTTTAATGTTTTTTTAATAATAGCTACCAGGTTCAAAGTATGGATTTTTCTAATCAGTCATTTGAAATATTTGAAACTATTTTTAAAACTTTTTTCATTGGAAACAGATAAATTTCCTGAAGTATGTTTGTTGTGAAATGCATACTTAAAAGAAACAAAATATTGATGGTGTTTTTGGTTTAAGTCCAACATGAAAGTAAACCAAACAAGTTGTTTTGTTTTTAAAATACCACCTAAACACCTATAAGTGAACTATTATTCAAAAATAATAATAATAATAAAAAGTAGGTCAGAGGATAGTTAACTTCTTTTTTTTCTCCCAGCTTCCAAAAACTACACGTTATGTTGAACTGGAACCCACTGGCTTTGGTATAGCACTTGTTCAGGTGGGTCTCTTAACACTGAAATTCTAATAATTGTTTTGTGTTATAATGCATATTCATTGGAAAAACTTTTTATGCTAATGTTTGTACAATATCATTCATTTCTTAAAGAAATCCTATGAAGTATTTTAAACAGTAAATGAAAGATTAATTGCATTATCTGTGCTAGTTTAATGAATTAGGTACAGTTTAACTCAACATGGGCTCGGTCAATTTGACCGACCACGTGCCCTCATTATACTCATTTAAAGACTATAGATTTAATACTTATAACTTTCAATATAGTGTGTACATCTTCACAAAATTTGACAGTCTTTCAGTTAACATAATAAGTTTTTCACATATAAAAAAAATCGTTTTAGTGAAGTATTTTCATTAAACTAAAATAAAGAATAGTCCATGAATATATTGAGTATTTGTTTTGCAAAGAGACTTTGATATTAAGATTAAAAATACTTTTCATCTCAAATTTCCTTTGTGTAATCCCTAAAACCTTCTAAATATATTTCCAACGTTTTTTCAGTAAAACTATTTTATCTCTTATTTTCTCTACCCTATTTCAAAACAGAATTGGTCGCTCAGGAAATGTGCAGCTTATGTTATGCTATCAAATTACATTACCCAAGAGCTACTATGAGCTGCTTGTGTGCATGCCTTGAGAAACATTTTTATTATATTTATTTTACCTCATCTAATTTTAACTAACCTGTAAAGATCCTTATTTTTTACATTTTAGTTACTTTTATAATAATAAATAAAGAATGAAAAACAAGATAGTACTTACCAAATTTTCTTTTTTCTTGCTGTTGATTGTCAATGACACTTAACTCTACTTTTTAATACTAATGCTAGTAATGCACTAAATAACTTTTATTTAATTAGATAATGCATCAAAGAACATGGACTAATAACATGCAAAAAGTAGACAATTTCCCCCTAACTAAACTTTTCTGGCTTCCTAACTATGAGACAAGAGCCATTACAAATTCATCCAAGCTAGTCGTTAACTTTCCCACAAGAACGAAGCTTGTACTCTGAGTGAAATTGTCTATTATTTGCTCAGAACACAATGTTATCTAATACGCCATTTGATAGATAAAAACCTTGACTTTCTATTGGTTATAGGTAATATATAATTAAATGTAAGAGAACTATTAACAAATCCTAAAAGAGATGATGTGACAGGGTGAGTCTGGTTTTCTATTTCATAGCTCTGTAAACAAACAAAATTGAAGGCTATAAAAATTATAGTTTGTCTGAGCAATGACTATTTTATAGTGAATAATTTATATTTAATTTTGTACTTTTTGGAGGGGTGGTGAATAAAATAAAGATGCCTAGAGAAAATGTCACACTAGGGGAAATTCAGGATTTTATTTAAATATTGCCTTTTAGAATTAAGAACTTAACTTGTATACTATTAAAATATGGATTATTAGCTAAGATTTTATGCTATACTAATTGGTATAACATAAACAAAAAGTAGTTTAATGAAATTTTGAATGTAAGACACTAAAACTGTGTTATGCATAATAAAGGATACTCGTGGTAAGAGTGTTAAGTAAATTAAGTTTCAAGGAAAAGCTATTAACTTTGGCTAATGTAGATAGCCTGCTGTATAGCATTGCACTAAAAGAAAACAAGCAAACATTGATTTCATAGCCTTAACATTGATTTCTTAACCAAGTCCAACTTTAATATTGAAAAAGTATTATAAGCTTTGTAGGATTTATGTATGTATAGATCTAATCAGTTCAAATAACTGTCATTCCTAGGGGTCTTGAACTGCCTATACTAGTGTCACTTGGCCAGATCGAAAACAAAACTTATAATTCAAAGTGGCGACTACAGACACGCAGAAATTATTGTAGTTTGTTAGAATAGGATAAAGAACTAAGAACAAAACCATGATTGGCTTACAGATGGGACATCTGGAAAGATTTAAAAGTGAAGCCAAATATAGACTTCATATATGGATGAAAACCACTGCTCCATTTCTCACTTTCTTTGCAAATTAACTAATTTAAACTCAATGTATTTATTTCTAGGTGTCTTGGGCCTTTAATTTGGCTGTATCAGCTGAACATTCTCCATTTTCCCTAAATCCTTTCCTTGAAAAAACTGCCACCAGAGATTACTTACAGTTAACTGTGTGTACTAGGTGAGTTAAATTTGTAAACAAATTTCACTTTAGAACCTTCAATTTGACTGTTATGTTGGTTATACTTATCATTTTTATAATTAAATAGCATTTCTATGTAAATTGTATTTTAAGAAAAGATTAGTACAATATTAGTGAAAGATTTGATTGTAGCATAATTCCTTGGTTAAAATAACTATCAATAGTTTCCTCTCAAACTATGAACTGTATCTACTCAAAGAAATTGTTCTAGTCTTTTAAATATTAACTTTTTGTTATAGTAAAAAATGTTTACAGAACTCAGTTTTTGGTTAATAAATGGCTGTATTTATTGGGTTGAATAACACAATTGTAAATTCTTAAGTTGTTTCTATGCTTTAATGAAACTTAGACTATCAAATGATAATCTAGCTTAATGGTTATTTACTACAATTTGTCTTAGTATCAGAATTGGGGTTATAAAAAAAAAAAATATATATATTGTTTCTGCGAGTTTCCACCTTAAGAACAACCTTGAACATTTTAAAGGACTTGTTATGAGTGTTGTCCTTTTAACACACACACTCACACAGATGTTATACAGCCACTTTACTGTTATGCAGCATGATTAGTTTTTCAAAAAAAAAAATTTAATGCTTTCAGTTTTGGTTATGACCTAAAATCTTACATTTCAAAAAGGTGGGACATTTAGATGTAGTTGTTGTTTTTATAATATCCTAGTTTACTTTCTCATCTTCAAATCCTGTGGTAAATGGTAGTTAAATTCAAACAAACCCTGACCTCGTATTACACTTACTACTATTTTAGACAAGTGAATTAAACAACGTAATCAGTACTCGTCAAAATATCCAAGTTCACTACTGAAAGTTAGTTACAGTATTAGAGCTTGAGTATCTTATGCAAACTAAAAGTATAGTATTCCTTACACATTCAAACTGTATCTTGAACACAATAATAATATACCATCAGTCTTTATGTACCAGAAGTTTAGGAGCTGCCTATCATCGATTACTGGTAGTGTAAAGCTCCAAAAGATGGAACATTCATCACTATTGAGTGCCCATAGATACTTCACAATAACCTAACTGTCCAAAGATATAACAATACAAGGCCTCAATTTAGGTAGTATGCAGCAAATGAAACCCAACAGTAAGCTTATTATGCTAGACCATAATTTTGATATAAATTTTGCCCATAAGGCTTCTGACAGAATATAAACATTCTACTTGCATACCCATCATAGTGTGAAGTGGATTGGGGAAAAGAATCTAAGCCTTTCAAAGTTCGAAAAGTACTCGGTTCCAGTTAATCAAATATAAAAAAAAATAAGTCTGAGCAAAAGCTAAAGAGACAAGTAATCTTTTTTTCTATGAAAATGTTTGTGTATTTCAAAGTTGAGTTAGTTTTGTCATAGCTGCTATTGTAGCCTAAATACATAGATGTATATCTCCATTGTTTGATACTATAAGCACTTAATAAATAATCATATGAAGTTAAACTGTCCAATACAAAAAAAAAAATATAGGAAATACTTTGGATTCAAAATTTTCATTTCAATATTGTAACACTCTGGTAGGTTACACTTTTGTCTTAGTTTCTTTGTTGTATACCTAACAAATTCATTTCTCTTTTGTACAGGAATAATGAGGATGAGCCAAGTAACATGGCAGTGATGGATGTTACCTTGCCATCTGGTTATTTGGCAGATGTTGATGCTCTTCCTAATATTCTAAACACTCCCAATACAAAACGTGTAGAGGCTGCTGATGGCCAAACAAAAGTTATCATCTATTTTGATAAGGTAAATGTCCACAGTACTTACAACTTCTATTCAGTGTGAACAGAATATTCATATTACAGTTTGTTTCTTTACTTACATTAGAAATAATGCATATGGTAAAGGTATAACCAAATATGACAATCCCCAATTGGTATGTTGCATGATTCCTGTAACTACTACCTTATTGAGTGGTAATGTTTAACTAAATATACACTTGTGTCTTCAGCTTGACCAAGATGAAATCTGCCTGATGGTTCCTGCTCACCTGAACAGCAAAGTGGCACATCAGAAACCAGTGCCAGTGATGGTGTATGATTATTACAATAGAGGTGAGATCTACTGGTTTTATCACGTTTATATGGATAAATTGATTTTTGTGACGGCTAGCATTTATCTGTAAGTTGAATATCAAAAATTTAGTTTGGGAGAAAAACATGCAGTAAACCTCTAGTTTTGTAGAATATAATAAGTTTTTCGTATTGGATACCTGATCGTCACTAGGAGTTCGGGAAATTTATTTCTCTAGCTGGTATTTTTAGTTGGTAAATATGCATTTAAATTACAACGATCATGATAAAATATCTTAAATGGAACTTCTAAAAAGGACTTTTTTGAGAGAGAGAAATTAAGATGTGTACAATTTCTGTTATAGTGAAAACAGCCCGGATGTTCTATAGCCCTCATAATGCCACAGTTTGTGACATCTGTGAAGAAGATGAATGTAGTAAAGAATGTAATGAAGTTAGTGATGGTGATGGATCTTTTTCTCTAGAAGCCAGTGTATTTGTTGTTCTTATCGGTACAATATTGGCCAGGTGTTAGCTCATATTCCTAAGAAATTGATATTTCAATTTTTTTCAGACTTGTGTAAACATGTTATCTTGCTACATCTTTATTTTTCACTAGCAAGATGCTTTGTACAAAGTATGACTACCACAAACTTTGAAGTGTAAAGCACACTAAGTATATTGATAGAAACATTAATTTTTGTCTACAATCTAAAAATATTCTTTGTGGCTTTCAACTGTTACTATTTTACTTATTGTGTAAAATATGTAAATTGAATTATCTTTTTTTTATAGAATGTGGAGTCGTATTGAGTCAGTAATGTTTTTTTTACTGTAATTTTATATTATATTTTTAGAAAATTAAACTCCATATTGATGTGCGTGTGCCAGTTGACAGTGATTAAATAACAGGCTTCTAAAGAACTTGACAAGTTTACTTTTACTACAATCATTAATTAAACATTTTAATGCTCAATGAAATACGTATTGTTAATATGGTGAGATTTCACTTCAAAATTTCAAATGACAAAAACGGATGAAGAAATAACGTAAATGTGAAAATTCAGCAATGATGAGTTTTGTTTTAAAACATCAATAAATAAATAGTGAAATTTAAACACTAGGTTGTCCATGTAAAGTGTCTTATAAAAGCATACACAAGTATGCATATTTTACTAACTCAAAATATAGTGTTTTTAAAATAAGATCAGCTACAATGTAAAAATTGTACTGAAATAAACTGTATTTTAAGCTTGTCTACTTCCACTCAGTTGATGCTTCCTAGGTAACCCTTGTTAATGAATATTGTCATACTTTTAAACTGCATAAATCAAATTGTGTCACATTATAAACTTAAAACCACATTCAGTATACATTATTTCTGCTAGCAACTCTTAAGGTATCTTAATAGATAACATTTCACATAGTTTTTATGTAAATGAGTGAGAGTCAATGTGTGCATACCCTAACCTTTTGCAGTACCATTCTATCTGGTATTATGCATATCAAAGTTACTAACATTTCACATTGTCCTATATTGCTGAGTGAGCAATGGTTCATGCTAGAGTAGAGAAAATACTAGATGTGCATTTACGTTTTAGAGGTTATGCAAACATCATTTAGAAATGAACGAGGAAAAAAAAGTATTCTCCACATGAACATCACCTTCCACTTAAACTTTTTTATCTCTTGCATTTCAAACATAAAATAGTTGAAAAAAATATTGCATCATTAAATTCTTCTTCATAATTTCATCTAATCATAGCTCTGGCTATTGAGGATTCCCTCTTGTTTCACTTTTGGTTCCTGTAACTATCTATAAGTTTGTGCATTGTATGAGTATCAGAAGTAATGTAAAGTAATTATGGACATTATATACACCTGGAAAAAGTTAAGCACCCCCAAATATTTTTCAGGATTGCTTATTGAAAATAAGGTTTAATTTT